ATCGCTAGAGGTAAGATGAATAATCGACGTGACCCATCGATGATTCATGATAGTTATTTGAGTTAATATTTTTATACTTTAGATATTGGGAAAGGAAAAGTCGAATCCAAAATGTTGCATGTGTTTTTTTTTTTTTTAATTAAGGGCAGGAAGAGCAACATCAGGTAAACAGAAATAAAAAAAATGAGGATTCGAGAGGGAAAGACCAAGGTGAGCAAAAGCATCTGCAACAAAGTTTGTCTTCGTAAAAATGTGCTTCCAATCAATATGACTTTTTATATTGTTAATAAGGGAGGGAGATTTTCAAACTCTTCAAATATTAATAAGAGAAATATCTTTATATCAAGAAATAGTGGTCTTTCTTCACATAAACTTATAGAAGTCAATCTTCAACGGCATTTTAACCAAAGTAGTTCTTAAGATTGACATAACTCCTCACTTTTGGTCTCCGAAATTTGAAATCGATATAAGTGGTCCTTGAGTTTGTCCACTATCAATTAGTTTGGTCATTCCATAAAATATCTCTATTAAATAAGGCCAAAATGAATGAATTATCCTCAATTTAATAAACAATGGGCTAAATGATTTGACAAAAAATTGATAGTATTTTTTTTTTTTTTTTAAATTTTAACGGTAATTTTTCACGGAATAACCAAAATGATTGATGATGGACAAAATTAAGGACCACTTCTATTGATTTTAAATCTTGGAGATCAAAATAAAGAGTTATGCCAATCTAAGAAACAATTTTGACTAAAAAGTCATCTTCAATCTTTGATCTTTCAAGTCTTTTATTTTTGTCGAAGATCTGGTCTCTATACATCATTTTGAAGTACTAACTCGACATTCCTTAGTCCATAGCTACTAGCTACAACCCACATTTGTTTTGGCGTAAGTGCAAAGGAGTAGTTTCTTTTTCTTTCTTTTTTTTTTTGGATAAAGTGCAAACTAATAGTAAATTAAGAGTAAACATGAATTAGGCCATGTTTGATATTACATTTTTTTACTAAAAACTTTTAAGTTAAAGAATAAAAATAGATGTTTGATAAAAATAAAATATTATGTTTATTTTGAAAGCAATTATCTTCTGGATAACAACTTTTAAAAGCACATTGTAAGTTGTTTTAAAAACTACTTTCATAAAAAAGTAGAGTTGAGCCTTTAATGAATATTTTTAATTTCTGTAATACCCTTATTACTTTTTAAAAATGATATTATTTATCCTTATACATAAATATTTTCACTTGGAGAACGAAGTAATCGCCACCACCTACCACTGCAACTACCAAGCTTATATCACCACCACAATCATTAATTGCTACCACCACCACCATCGCAATTGTTACCACCACCAACACCACCTCGTTGCCACTACCACTACCACCATAACAACCACAACCACAATTGTCACCACTAGCACAATCATAACTGTCATTACCATCACCATCGTTATTGTCACCACTGCCACCATCACTTTCATAACCACTATCACAACTGTCATTACTGTCATTACAACCACCACCACCGTCGCTACCAACCACCAGCATTGTAACCTCTGTACATAAAACATCACACCTCACTATTGGCACCACAGTATACTCTTGCAATTATTGCTGCCATTGCCATCACTATCGCCCACCCCACTTCCACCTCTGCTGCTAATGTCACAGCATCGCCATCACCACTATCGTCGCCACCTCTACGAACCACTAGCATTACACCACCGCCACCATCACCACCATTGTTGTTGAAACTGATATCGCCAACAACGCTGCAATCACCACCACCACTACTGATGCAACCACTACCACCTCTATACCCCAATTACCACACTCTATTATTGGCCCCCCACCACACCTCCACTAACGCTACTATCACCGCCACTACCTCGCAACCGTTGTTGTTGCCACCACTTCCATTGCTATGTCCATTTTTATCATTATATACAATTATATCATATTTGTAAGATATTACCAAATGCTTTTACACTGCTTTTCATACTCATAATACTGTAAAAAATATAATTTATCAAATGTTCAACTGCTTTATTATACAGCTAGTTATTCTTAAAGCATAATAGAAACAACTTTTCTAAAAAACACAACAATCTCAAATTAGCCTTAATTTTGTTAAGCTTTTAACTGGAAAAATTTTGATTCTGATAAATTGGTATCCATTTATTAATGAGAAAAAAAAATTGAGTCCACTTGTTGAGTGTGATGCTTAAGTTTTATGAGTTTAATTCTTCAATCGTAATTGCCAAGGAAAAGAAGAGAAAAGCAAATTAATTAACCCCTTATGAGAAATGAGAGATTTTTTTAGTATATTTAGAACACGTGTTTGTATATTATTAGTATAAGGGGAGAAAACTTAAATTAAAGTAATGTTTCATTTGCTATTTATTTATACCATCTTTTTAATAGAGTTAGAGTCTGTCGATGCATGTGTCTCATTTATATTAGATAACTGCTACAAATAATAATACAAATAAATAATAAGAATAATATTTTTACTTAAAACTATTTTACTTCTTCACTTATATTATGATACCTAATATATCAATTTGCATTCCGAGTACACAAAAAATCTCACATAACAGAGCATCCCATTATCCATTATTTATTTGTGCCAAAATCAACTATATATGGGATTAAGTAATTTCTTGGGCCCATAAAAGGGAAATGGATGAATCCCATGTGGCATGAGAATTGAGAAGTCACTATCTGCCAGGTGGAAAAGCTGCCAGCATGTTAAAGCAGAGCAGTGCCAACTGGTGAGTTTCGGGAGGTAGGCATGTAGGCCTATAGCTCCCCTTATTGGTCTGATTGGGGAAGAGAGACCAAGAATAATCCAGGCTGTTGGGAAGAGAGAATGGCACTCCCTTTCATTTCATTTTGTTTATTTGTTTGTTACAGCCAGCTGGCTCTATTACAACACGACAAGCTTTCTCCTCGAGATTTAAGATTCGTGTAATCTTTATTAATTAATAAAACACTTATTATCAACTAAAATCATATAAAATTATCAGTTTAATCTTTTAATTAAAATAGAACATGAATAAGAAATATGAGGTAGAAATGTAATTTCACATAACTAAATTTTACTGTTTTTTTTTTCAAAACCACATGTACATGTAATCCTAACATATATCTAATTAAAAAAAAAAAATCTTCCCACTCACATTTTCTATCACTCTCTTCCTCTCTCTCCTTCTATTTCAAAAACAAAAATAAAAAATGTTCTTATAAACTTTGTGTGCCCATATGTTAGTAATATATAATTGGGATAATTTGATATAGATTCAATTTTGTGAGAGATTAGTAGAATTAGTCCACTACATTGAAATAGGTCCAATAATTGAGATTCCATGTATGTTTATTTGTGGTTTGTACCATATTTATCCCTTAGGCTTACGAATTGTAGTAAATACACAAAATTTCTTAATTATGAGATAATTTGTGGTTTAACTAATCCCTTAATTGTAGGATTAGTTATAGCCATATAATCACCTCAACCCCCAGTCTGTTTGATCCCTCATTTTTTCCTTCTTCCAAACAATTCCCTCTATCAATCCTCCTCGTTTTTGTCTATTCTTTTCATGGGTGATATTTTTGTGTTCTTCCGTCCAAATTCGTTCCTTTAATGGAGGTATATTATATCATATTTATATTTTTATGTTCCGCCATGTAGGTTCCCAGCATTTTTCTTCCAATACAATAGGTAGTTTATTTTTGTTTTGCGGGTAGATTATATCTGCTTTGTAGGTATAAAGCATTTTCTTCCTATACAATAGGTAGGTAGTTACTAGATTATATCGGTCTTGTTTTCTTCATAAATAGTAGGTAGTTACTAGATAATATTTTAGTTTGAGTATTTAAATATTCAAAATTTAAAAACTGAATAAATGATAAAAAATTAAAGAATTTAAATATTTTTATCTGAAGGGGAAAAATTGATATCAAAATATGTAATTGGATAACTGGACTTGGTCCCAAAAACTATCTAAGTTTTTGGACCTAGATCCAAAAGCCCCTATATAATATTAACCACATATAAAATCTTGTTAGGTTCGTGTAATAATCATATCTGTTTTTATTTTTTTAATTGAAAATTTATCTGATAATTACATTTGAAAATTAAAAGCTGTTTTATTTAAGTTTTCAACTTTCAGTTTTTATATTTTGAATCTTGATGTTTTATGTTTGATTCCTCACTTTTTTTTTATTTTGTTTATATAGCAAATTAGAAAATTTAAAATCATATACGTTCTTGTTGAAGAAAATTCTAGTTTAAATATACATACAAGAAAAAAAAAAGTATTACATTAATTTATAAAATTACTTATTGGATGTAGCTATTTTCACATTTTGGATAGTTTTTTTTTTTACGGAGCAAAATGTGCTAGATAAAGCCATTTGTTAGGGAAATGTCGTTAACGTCGTTGCGGCAACTAGTAAAACTACTTTCTATATTGGGGTGCATACTCTCAAGATTTTTAAGGCTAAAATTGTGTATAATTGAGAGGCAAATAATATTGCTCATAAACTTGATGAATGTTTTATATTTAGTGCTCTGATTCAATGCGGTATGAATTTTTCCTTGATATTAAGATATTCTTATTTAAGAAGACTATAGTTGAATGTCGTCACCCAACAGTGATATTTTGCTAATATTTAATAACGTTGCCCTTGAAAAATAAAAAAATGTCTCATGATGCAAAATCATGTAAATCCCGATTGAAATGCTTATTATAGAATAATAACTGAAACTTCCATAAAAATAACAATTGACATGATTATAATTTTATAAAGGGAATTATTATTAGCACTTCAAAAATTTCATTCTATACTTTAAATTTTCTATATTAGGATAAAAAAATACATATTTTAAAGGATATAGAATAAGATTTTTAAAGTACCAATAACACTTCGCTAATTTATTTGAAAACCTTCTATTTCTAATATAAAAATAGATTGCTGGCACCTATTTAAACGTAAACGCGTACGCTTCTTCTCCGACTTTCGCCTTCCCGCCGGCTGTTTCACACCATTTCTATACTCTCTCTCTCTCTCAATGGTCAATGCGAGTGAAGGAATTTCATAGATAACAATAAACCCACAACTTTTTTCTTTCTTCAAACAAGAGGAATAAAAACAGAGTTATTACGGAGCTTCTCAGCCTATCAATGGCGAAGTCTAAGAACAACAGCAATACCAAGAAACTTTCTTACATTTCAGTCCCTTCTCAGATTATCAACTCTCTGTCTCCGTCTTCTCTGCAATCCCTCCTCGTTTCTCCCAAGAAATCTTCAAGGAGCAAAAGCAGCAGCAGGTACTTGAGCTGGCTCAGCAACTACAGGAGCCCAAACTTCTGGGTTTTCTTCCTCTTCCTCTTTGGATTTCTTGGGATGCTGAAGCTGGGATTCCATATCGACCGTTTGATTCCCTATTCTCCATACCCATGTTCCACAACTCAGCTCCGGGACTTGGTCTCTAATGGCTACTTAAAATCACACATGGGTTTTGCTTCCAACGCTGAAAACAGCCACCAAGTCGAGGTTGTGAGCGAATCCCAGCCGTTGATTTCGAGTGGGGTTTTGGAATCAGAGGTGGGGGTTGAGCTAAACAGTGGGAAAGTTGGGGAGGAAGCTGAGGGGAGTGAGTTTTGGAAGCAGCCGGATGGTTTGGGGTATCGGCCGTGCTTGGATTTGACGCAAGAGTACAAGAGAGCTAGTGAGGGGATAGTGAAGGACAGGACTAAATACCTGATTGTTGTGGTTTCTGGTGGGATGAACCAGCAGAGGAATCAGATTGTCGATGCTGTCGTTATTGCTAGGATTCTTGGTGCTGCTCTGGTGGTTCCTATTTTGCAAGTTAATGTCATCTGGGGGGATGAAAGGTATACAATGTTACAACTCAACTCACATTTTTTCTTACTAAATTACTTGCCTTTTTTGGATTCCCTCCACCTAGTGTAAATATATTCGTTGTGTAGATATGTCGTTGTATTCGACATTGCCTTTTCCGATTCATTTTAGTTTGTGGGATATCATGATTCAGTATAGAACTTACCAATTTCCTGTCCCCAAATTCATGGAATTTATGTCAATTTACTATTTTTCCTCTTTAAGAATGGCTTACTATTCAACCCAACAAATAGTTAGGCTTTGTTGTTCTTGGTTTATGAATGGCTTAATGTTGCAATATATTTGCTTAGCAGACTAAAATTGGTTTCTGTGTTTTGTTTGATGGGTGCAGTGAATTTTCTGATATATTTGATTTGGAGCACTTTAAGGAAGTCCTTGCTGACGATGTTCGGATAGTTTCTTCACTGCCATCAACGCATATAATGACAAGGCCCGTGGAGGAGAAGCGGACTCCTCTTCATGCTTCGCCTAATTGGATTCGGTCGCGTTATCACAAGAGGGTAAGAATCATTGCTGTCTTTGTGCTTGCTTTGAAGCAACCCTATTGTATTTCCTAAAGATTTGAATTAAGGCAATATGGAAGAGAGAAAAAGATGCTTTAGCAGCTCTTAGTTTGTTATATGGGGGCCTAGTGACACCAGCCGTTTGTATTTGTTTGGTTGTTTGTTTTTGCTGCTGCAATTCCTACGAATATGTCAGCTTTCAAACAGTTGTTCTCATCTTTTAGTTTACAAGTGTTGCTACAAAAGCATGGGAATACCTCAATACAATTGAGAAGCCGTCCAGTCCAACCCTTATGACTAAAATTTTGTACTTATCATCTAAACCTTATGTGCTGCCGAACATTTTAACCTTACAAAACTAATGGCAATTTCAGGGTTTTCTGATCATATATTAAAAATACAATAAGTCATTTTTCTCATGTGTAATTCCATAACATGATTTGTTTATAACCCTGTTTATCTGTTTTGTCATTTGTGGTCAGGTTACAAACGAATTTCCTGTGGAATACAAATTATGCTAATTCATCTTTTTTTCTGTGCAGATTAAAAGAGAAGGGGTTTTACTGCTTAGAGGCTTGGATTCAAGGCTCTCTAAGGATCTTCCCTCTGATCTTCAAAAGCTTCGGTGCAAGGTAATTCACTAAGTAGGTCTATAATTTTTATTGTTGTGTATGCAAGCTGACTTTGTTTCATTACAGAATTGAAACAACGTCCTAGAGACAGCTGACTCTGATCTCTTCTTTGTTTGACTTCAGGTTGCGTTTCATGCATTGAGGCTTGCTCCTCCAATTTTGGGAATTGGTAACAAACTTGCAGAGAGAATGCGCAGTAAAGGGCCTTACCTTGCCCTTCATCTAAGAATGGAGAAGGATGTATGGGTGAGGACTGGTTGCCTTCCTGGTTTGACTCCTGAATATGATGAGATAGTAAACAATGAGAGGAAACAGCGGCCAGATCTCTTAACTGGAAGATCAAAAATGACTTACCATGAAAGAAAACTTGCAGGTCTCTGCCCCTTGAATGCCGTGGAGGTGACCAGGTATGTTAGCCACATTTAGGCATTAGAACATAAACCAAATTGATATCTTTTTGTATTTGTTATTTGTACCAGAGTTTTCTGACAAACCAAATCTTGTGTTTTAGGTTGCTTAAAGCTCTAGGAGCTCCAAAAAGTGCAAGAATATATTGGGCTGGCGGGCAGCCTTTTGGTGGAAAAGAAGCCTTACAACCGTTAATCAAAGAGTTTCCCCATTTTTACAATAAGGAAGATCTTACTTTGCCTGGTGAACTAGAACCTTTTGCAAACAAAGCTTCTGTGATGGCTGCCATTGATTATATAGTTTCCGATAATAGTGATGTCTTCATGCCTTCTCATGGGGGAAATATGGGCCATGCTATGCAGGTATAGTTTTTGTTTTGGTTTTAATAAATGTACATACTATATGCTAGACGAAACACTAACAAATATAATTAAAATAAATGAAGTTAACCTGTAAGTAGTGAAACAATGAAATGCTAAGATAAACGCACAAATGATCGGACATTGTCAACCGACCTGAAATATGAGCTATGTGTTGTTGAGAAAATATGCTTGGAAGATGAACAATATGAAATTATCATAATAATAGTTCTTTTACATATGATGCTTACCTAATTTGATGGAGACTTCCCTTACACCTAGTTTTGTATTCTCTTTCAGGGACATCGTGCCTATGCTGGCCACAAGAAGTTTATAACCCCAAACAAAAGGCATATGCTTCCGTACTTTCTGAACTCTTCTCTCCCTGAAGCAGAGTTCAATAGGATCATAAAGGAATTGCACAGAGATTCCTTAGGACAGCCAGACCTCAGGAGGAGTAGAGTTGGAAAAGATGTCACAAAGTATCCCATTCCAGAGTGTATGTGCAATGATACTAAGACTCATCCGTACATGTGAGTCAATTCTGAAGATTTCCAGCATGATGGACCCACTTCATCGAAAAATTGAAACATCTCAGTAAATCTCTTGAATTTGAGCCCTCTGAAAGTGGTTTGTCCTCAGGGCAATGATGGTCCTTTGGATCACTGGGGATTTTAAGAGAGACTGCTGCATCACACTCAATTTGTGAGTTTGCTTTCATTTTTTCTTCCCCACCGCTTCCTTTGTGTACAAATTCAAGTCAGGCAAGACAAATGTCTTCTTATAAGACAAGATAGTATATAAGGTTCTGTGAAGAGAAAAACTCTGAAGCTTCAAGGTAACCTGGATTCGCTTTCAGACTTTCATGAGAAACTCAGCACAAGGCAAAGAAGGTCCCCTAATTCTTTGATTCTTTATAGGAAGAATTCTTTTAGGATAGATTTTTTTTTTCCACATTTTGGTTCATTCGTTATTGTACCACATCAATGTATTATAGAAGATGCGTGTATATAAGCAGACTTGGAGTAATAATCTATATATCTGTTTCACAAGCTCGCATCACATACTTTCCGGTTCTGCATGCAGAAACTGCACAAGCCTCAGTTTTCATTGAAATTTGTCAGTCACTTTCATGTATTGATCTCTGTACTTCGAAACAGAGAAACAAGTTATCTTCTGGACCTTAACGCTAAATCAAAGAAGCAATATTACATAACCTTTCCCATTGGCCGTTTGATCATTCTGCATTATATCATGGCTGAGTTTCCTGATATTTACCTGATTTGGGATTACAATGTCGCACGTTATTGTCCTGTCAGGAGTGTTCTGCAGGAGGCGGTGAGAGAATTTCTTTTGTAGATAGTGGGGGAGAGTTCAAGGTAAGATGAAGATTTGTTGAGATTCTATTATATAAATTGTTATATTCACATGTGCGTGCACTTTATGTCTCACATTGACACTTATGACTAACGATAGTATTATTGGAAAGATAATCTAATATGTTTGTAGAACTCAACTCAATGAATGAGTGAGCCGATATTGCATTGATATATATATATATATATATGAGTACAATCGATATACATGTAGAAGTAGGATTACAAATAAATAGCAGCATGTGAACTAAATACAAAACAGAATCAAGATTGAACTTGATCTGCAGCAGCCGCATCCTCTGAGGAATCCGTGTTGGAACAGAACTGTATTTGTGCAGGTGGTATTGTGGTCAGTTTATCATTATTTGTACCCAGTAAGACCTAACGGACAATAAATTCTCTTATAAGCATGGGGAAATTGAGCCTTCACAAGCCTTGATGATTGAAGCCACTGGATTGACACATGTAATTGTTTTATTCAAACTCTTTGGAAACCCAGAGACATCCATAGTTATGCTAGCTCACCCTTCTGATGCTTGTAGGAGAAGTTACTGGTCACTTGCCTTAAACTTAATTACACTAACTATCAAAATAGTTGTCAAAATTATTGTTGGTAGGTAGATTACTTGGGTGGTAGGGTATTAGAGTGTGATAAGGCAGATCTTTATGCACCAATGCTACATATTGAAATTGACAGATTTTCTCACCCTGTGGACGTAGAAAGGGAAAACCATGTATATCTGTAAATCTGCGTTTATTTGCTTCAATTCCTGGCCGAGACCGAGGGTAAGTAAAGGCCAAAACTAAGACTTAGAATATCCTGTATAGTGATCTGATATAATCTTCTAGCTTATCCAGTGATCTGATATCGTCTCTATTATATGTGAATCTTCTATGCAGAGACTTTATTCTGCTGAAAGTCCAATTCTTCTTTCTATTATACAGCTTTTATTTTGTTTATTGACTGGCATACATCTCTAGTCCCATTAGCAGTTTACTTCTTCCACTCCGCAAATTATCTGATGCTACAAGTTCGAGTTGGTTGGAAGCATGGAACATTTTTCATCAGAATTTTAAGCACCCCATGTTATTGTTGTTAGTGCATAAGCATTGAGCTGATTTGAATTTAGTAAAATAAACCTTGTATTTAGTTGTGTATCCACTTTGGTTAAAATCACCAAGTGTAGGGCTCGTATTGTAATTTTGTCTACGTGACATGCGGAAGGATCCTTGAACTTAACTAGATGTGTGGCTAAGATCATTTTCTGATGTAATGGTGGGAATCCAGATGCATAACTAATCGTTATTCAGTGCAATGTGTGTGTGAGTGAGATAATAGAAAGAACATTCCTCTGCGATTTTTGCTGACAAAGAAGCATTCATATTCATCTCCATTTTTTGTGATTTTCTCTTCCTCTCCTCTACTGGCACACTCTGAATCAAACTCTAACATGACCTCAGAGCCAGGTTAGATCAATTGAGATCTGGGCGTGAATTGTGAAGTTGGAGACATCATCGACGTTGAAGCAATCGAGCTACATTCAAGTTCGTTCTGGTTTTGGTGAAGTCGTCGGAACTCCATAGAAACCAAATTCAATTTGTTTTCATATCATCTAAGCTAAGAGATGGCTGGATTTGGAAGCTATGAGGTGAGAACTCCGATCTTCTCCAGTGAGAACTACGAGTTATGGAGAATCAAGATGGTGACGATCGTCAAATCTCACGGGTTATGGAGGTTAGTTGAAAAAGGGGTCACGACCTCAAATTCAAAGAAGAAAAAGAAGGTTGAAGGGAGCGTAGAAGATGAAGACGAGGAGAAAATAGTGGTTGTATATATGCAAGATGTAAAAGCTCTTGGTGATCAAATATTTCCTCGAATTGCCAACGCAGATTCAGCGAAGATGGCATGGGATCTGCTACATGGAGAATATCATGGTGGTGATTAGGTACGGTCAGTTAAACTCCAAAATCTTCGACGTGAATTTGAGTATACTAGAATGCGTGATAATGAATCATTATCTGGGTATCTTACTTGTCTGAATGAATTGATTAATCAAATGAAGACGTTTGGTGAGGTGTTATCGAATGAAAGACTTGTGCAAAAGGTTTTAATTAGTCTTAGCAAACCTTATGATCCCATTTGTCTTGTGATTGAGAATACAACATGTATAGAGACTGTTAAATTACAAGAGGTTGTGGCAATTCTAAAAAGCCAGGAACAACGTTTTGATATGTACACTGTTGATGCTACTGAGAAGGCATTTACCTCTTTCTCTGTGAGTTCAAAAGGGCAGCAGAATAGGGGTAATTCTCAATCCAGCAGATTTAAGTCTCAGAAAAACTGGAATGCAAAAGGCAAGAAGTGAGATTCAAAGCCTAAGTTTTAGCAAAAGCCATTTATGGGTCCTGCATAGAATGCAAATTCTTCATCCTCCATGAATCAAGAAGTGACAAAACCTCAGTGCAAAGTATGCTCAAAGTTTCACTTTGGTGAGTGCAGATATAAGGAAAATCCGAAGTCACAACTATGATAAGTTTGGACTTTGGGTTAAAGAGTGCATTGTGGGTAAGGTTATTCAAAAGGCTAAATGTGCAAATCAAATGGAGGTATCTGGTAATCTATTGACAAGCTCATATTTATATATATTTTATATCAAATTCACTTGTCTTTTCTTAGTTAGTTCCTTATATTTTTGAGCTATTTACTTTGTTTTTGTGTTTTGTAGGATTTGTCAAGCAAAGAAAAGAAAAATAGCACAAGTGGAATTTTAAGTAACAAATTCGTCAAAATTGTCTGTGCAAATCAGCTGACTTTGGAAGCAAGTTGCGAACAACTCAGAATAAATTAGAGAATGAGCCTTATATACTTGGAAAGCTAGGGATGTCTATTTTCTAGAGCATTTTGCAGATTGTTAATTTCATTTTTCTAGAAGTTATTGCCGTTTTAACACTGAAAGGTTCCCAAGAGGTTAAGCAGTTTGTAACTGACAAGAAAGCATTGAAAGTAATAAATCCAATAAAACTAGCAGCCAAAACTGATGTAGCCAAGAACAAGCCAGCTCACACCTATTCAAATATCAGAGGAAATGGAAAATTAAGTGGGAGTAATGGGCATAAAGGCTGCCCAAAGAGTTAAAATTGTTTTAGCATTTCCTTTCACTTATTGTCATCACTAAATGGCTGTTAGTGGGGTGAGTTATGGAGAAAAAACTGTGGCAGCAGAAAAGAAGAAAATGGCTGCAGGTTGCAGCGGCAAAGAGTGGAAAAAAAGGTGGAAAAAAAGATAGAAAAAAAAGGAAGGGAAAGGCTTCTGCGTTGAGGAAGGAAGGAAAGGAAGGAGGAAATCTTGGCATTCTCTTCTTTCGGTTTTATCTTCTCAAACTCATGTCTTTCTTTTGGTTTAATTTGAGAATTATGTGTAACTAATTTTTAGTAGTTAGGGGCTGTTTTGAAGCCCCTAATATGATTGCAAGTTTGTTATGACATTTCGTTTGAATTACTTTTATGAACGAATAAAAATTGATTCACTAGTTGTCTCATTGATGAATTCTTTATGTGTTTTCTACGGATGCATACTTAGTAAGCATATCTAGGATTCTAATGCTATGAATATGTGTGTGTCTGCCCTTGTCGAATGAGGACCTACATATGTTCTAGAGTAGTACTTGTTAATTGCGATTAACATGTGAACCAATTTCTAGGATAAGTAAGACAACGCCAGTACTTACGATGCCTTGTGATGACTCAAACTCTTTTCATTCTTAATGATTTCTACTTGTTAAATCTATGAACACACCATTCTAGATTGCATATTAGGGACTAAGTTAAGTTGAAGACGCCATTCTTTTAACATACTACATAAGAAAGAGTAATAGGTTGAGTTCTAACATTGAGCCAACTTGAGCATCTTCATCCGGAAATAGAAGGAATTTGAATGAAACATAACATTTTTGCATAATTATTTGGTGGTGGATAGCAATTCCCCTAACTCGTTTTTCTTAATTTGCGAACTACTTAAAATCTGTTTTTGTCCTTTTTTTGTTCGATTTAATTTAAATAGAAAATCAACTCCAAAAATCCCAAAAATTTGTGTGAGTGTAGCTCTGTGTGTCTAGTATCTGCATATAAAATTTCGTAGACTTTAGATAAGTGTAAGTCAGTCTAATAATTATTTTTCAGTGGCTGGTCAGTAGGGACAACAGCCCAGTTTTTGTGACATTTTAAGTAGTTAGATAAAACAATCTTCTGCGGGAAAGACCCTTATTTTCATATGCTACAATTGACAAATCTTATTGTTAATAAGGAAAATTAATAGGACATTTGTGTGCTACTTTGTGGTGTGCTTTTAAATCTTATCATCTATTCTATGCTAACCGTACAACTACTGAAGCAAAGGTAAATGGAAATTGGTATGTTGATAGTGGGTGTAGTAACCACATGACAGGAAATGTCAATCTTCTTGTTGATGTAAGTACCAATGTGGCAGGAATGAGATCTCTTGTGATTGATACAACTAAAGGAAGGAAGTATATCAGAGAAGTGATGTATTTACCTGGGTTGAAAGAGAATTTGCTAAGTATTGGCTAGATGGATGAGCATGGATATTACTTGCTATTTTGGAGGAAAAATGTGCAGTGTTTTTTTATGGACCATCACTTGATAGTCTGGTTATAAAA